CAGTGTTCTCCACTAATATCCATCCTTCATCAACATCTTTGCCAAGGAAGTAGCCATTACTAGCTGTATCAAGAAGGATTCTTATTTATGGTTGAACACCTCTAGAGAGAGTGAAGAGAAGCATCTTCTTAGAAAAAACCATGATGAGGGCATTGTTGAGTGAAGCCTCTAAATCTTTCCCAAGTATCTCAACAAAACCACCATAGGAACAAGCAACCATCCATCCGTTCCTACCACCACCGGAACAAGACGATAACACCCGCCCATTCCCATCTCCATAAGAACAAGCAACAGTATGTTCCCACCACCATTTGAATAAGAAAAAAAACACCACATCCCAAAAGACGTGGGTTTGAGGGAGGCATGAGTAACCACGCTTACTCGGTGAAGACGATCACGCCTGCTTACAAATTCAACAAAATACGACTATGCGATCAACAATGATTACATTCAACTGAAAAATAAAACATGCATAACTAACTCCACAAAACATCAATCACTTAGCTCTACCGAGTTAAGACTATACAATATTATTGCATACAGAGCTTGTCGGTTCCTACCACCACTGGATCTCAACAAAACCACTCGCTCGTTCCTGCCACCGCTGGAAAAAAACAATAAACACATGTCCATTCCCACCACCACTGGAACAAGCAACCATCCATCTGTTCCCACCAGCATCGGAACAAGACGATAACATCCACCCATTCCCGTCTCCATCAGAACAAGCAACTGCATGTTCCCACCACCGTTGGAAGAAGACAAAAACACCATATACAAAAGGACTTGAGCCACATAACTCATCCCACCACGTAGAGTGCCCGAAGTTGTTTCCAACTTGCTAGTTAGCCTCAACACCGCTGTTGACATATCCCAACACCCAACAACGTAGTTCATCCCGCTAAATTGTATAATTCACCGGCAGTATAAACAATTCGGTCAAGCTTGCCAACGAATGAGGAAGCAACATTGCGAGGGGCTTCACAAGTAAACAGTTAAGTTTAGTTTTCTTTTCCCGTTTGTTATAGGCTTAGTTAATAACTAAGTACCATATAAATGTAGACTGGTTTCAGTACTTTCAATATTTGCAGTCTTAGAAACTGTGACACTCAAACAACCCCCCATATTTACGTCTTTGGTTTCTCTACCATTATTTTCTTTTGCAGTTGACCTTCCCATGGATCGACACCCTAAGTACTCAACGCACACTGTGCACTTGCAGATTTAGGGTCTTCTACAAATTTAAAACGCGAAGAGTCCTCATAAAGGGTCTATTATTGATCACCATTTCCGACCCTATCACCTAAATATCCCCTTTAGGGGATCAAACTGATCATTGTTGTCTCTGTAGTGATTGTTCTTCCTCCAGTTGAATTTTTTTAATAGCTTTGAAATCGGCTGTACTTCTAACAAATCAATACCCATCCTCTCGAATGTTTTACGGAAGATAATGTTTACGGAGCTCCCTGATTCGATTCGTATTTTGGTTATAATCTTGTTTCATACCATTAGTTCGATGACAAGGAGATCATCATGAGGTCGTTTGATCACGGCAATTTTCCTTTCTTCAAATAAGATTATATCGTTCATTAGCCTCGATGATGGTTTAATTCATTTTATTGTTTCTTCAGATTTATGATGTATAGTTTTGATGGAAGCCATTATATCTTGCAATATTAGGATCCTTCTATTATCATGTTTTTTCCTCTACGAGCTTCTGGCTGTGAATGTTTATCTATTTGTCTTTCTCGCTTTTGTATTGGCCTTTCCGGATGTTTTGGTAAGTCAAGTTGATCCTCCTCTTCTCTCTCACACTGCTCAAGGTTGCAAACGTGATTGATCTTGCCAGTCAGAAAATTTTCTGCAATTTTGGCACGTAAGCTTTCAAAATTTGCGTTGGCGTGTCTATGAGTCCATTGATATTCATAATAAGCTACTTCAAAAAGACATTCAAGTTTCTTTCTTGTGCGTCGCAGTTGGGAATCTTGCAAAAATGCAGCTTTTTTGCGGATGTAAGAGACTGCCATTTTCTATTAGCCCCTCGCGACTTGGTCGGGTCAAGGCACAATGAGGTTTTGCCTAGCTGACTTTGTCGCTTCAGACTTCTGAGAGAATAATTTTGTCTCTTTTTTTCCATGAAATATTTGGCTCAGTGTAGAGCATGTTCAATTGTTGAAGGTGCATTCAACATTACCTCTCTTTTGAAATTTGGTTCGTACCATATTGATTTCATCAACAAGGCAAGGGAGGCCTTGTCATCTATGCTTGTGGTTTTTTACATCGTTGTTTCAAATCTTTCAAAAAAATCACACATCATTTCCGTTGATGGTTGGACTTGAGCCTATAGTGCGGAATTGTGGCTCTCTTGATTTGTGTACATGTAATATTACTCTACGAATGTTGCGGATGAACGCTATAAGTTGTTGATTGCATCTTGATCGAGCTTTAAGAACCATTCCAATATTGCTCCTTCAAGGCGTTTCATGAATAGAAGATAGAGATTAGTGTCCCTCTCGTTTTCGTTTTCCATGTTATTGTCTTGTACTGCTGGTATGAGAGGGGAGGGGTTTGGCTTGTCTTGCATGGTTTGGCCGGTTGTCTTTGACTCATCTCGTTGGGACTTGCATACAACATTTTCTCCACTCGTAGGAGGTCCTTTTTCTTCTTCCAATGAGTTTTGGTCTAGTCTGTAACTGAACCCTTTTTCAGTGATGCTAGCTTCGTGTGTTGAGACGAGTATGATCATGGAATTGCAATGTTCCTTGCAACAAGTCTTTTTTGGTCTGGTTGTTTCCTGAGCCGAGGTGAATGTTGCACTAGCTTGCCATTTATCAGTTCAAACAGAGACACTAAATAGGTTTTCCTCGGCTCAGTATACTTTTTCAGTGATGCTAGCTTCGTATTTTGAGACGAGTATTATCATGGAATTGCAATGTTCCCCGCAAAGAGTCTTTTTTGGTCTGGTTGTTTCCTGAGCCGAGGCGAATGTTGCACTAGCTTGCCAAATACCAGTTCAAACAGAGACACTAAATAGGTTTTCCTCGGCTCTGTAGCTGCTGGTTTGTTGAATTGGTTCATTGCTCTTGGTTTGTTGGTGCGCCTAACTTGTTGTATACTCTGGAAATTATCCCTTTCCTTCCTTAAGTTTTTTATGCACCTCATTCTGCTCCTCCACCATTTTTGACATTGCGGTTAACATATTCTTCATCTCGGCTAAGGTAGTTAAGATTTATTTTGTTAGCGACCACACCATTAGGTTGAGGGAAACTCTTTTACATATATCGAATGGGTTTGATAATGAAAACGAATTTCCAATGTGTTGGTTCCGAGTTTTGCTCTCAGATACCAGTGCCTTGAATCTCTTAGATGTGGAATGGTTTGCCTCACCCTTCTCTTCCATCTTCTCTAATAAAACAACCACTATATTTCCCATCTCGGCTAGGGTTGTCGAGGAACCTTCCACTTGGAACTGCACTAAACCACATGGGGTCATCTCTTCTTTATAAAGAATATCCATGGTGTTGGCAGTGTCTCTGTTGGCGGTCATCGCTTCAGATCTCAAGTATGGTGGTTTCTAAGGCTAAAAAACTTTGCTTTCTTTATAATAGATGCAATATTGTGAGAGTCAAAACTCAAACAATAAAATTTGTTTAAGCAATATAAAAGGAATTGGAGATTCTGAATTAAATGAACACACACAAAGATCCAAATATTGTTTTTATTGCTGTTTAGATAGGATTTGATACAAGTGATATGCAATATGTGATATACTATGTTTTTCTGCTAGGTGAAAGATATGTGGTGATTTCATGAAATCCTATGTCTATTTATTCATATTTTTAGAGCCGCCTACGGATATTTAGGAGTATATTTACTTCCATTTGTCTTTGACGCTGCCATCTTCAACAAGGCATCACCTTTTAGGGCGAAAGACACTTCGAATCTCCTAATGGGCCTAGGTATCGGCCCTTAACGTCGTGTTTTGCCTTTGGCTTGGCCAACCACGTATGGTTCTTCATAGCATGTATTATTCGACCATATTATGAGTCATTTATTATAGGTTTTGCATCACATTTCATCCCTTTAAGTCCAAAAGTGTCTCATTTTCATCCAATATGCATAGCATGCATATACCTTAGGATTGCATTTTACATGCACTTTGAGAGTGTTTTCAGGTCTTTATGGGGCTAAGGAGGTATTGGGCAATATGATGGATCAAGCAAAGGAAGGAGGTTCATAAAAGAGAAGCAGTTCAAGGCGAAGAAGTGTCCATACCGACGTACCGTACAGTGGAGAACAACCCTGTTCTACCACAGTACGATCTGCATCGAGAAAGGCGTGCCCGTACACCCATGACTCTCCTCGGAGGCGATCATACCGATGAAGAGGCTGCTGTACACCGTTGTGTTTGCTCGGTATGAAGAGCTTCAGGACACACCGATGAGTGCACCGAGGAAAGCTATCCGATGTCTTCCAAGGTGCAACCTAAGACCGAACCTTCACCCGAGCCAACTTCGAGACGCAGAATTTTCAGCATGCACCGATGTATTGCACCAAGGAGAACAACTTCTTGCCTTCCTCGGTGTTGGCTATTTTTGGGGCTTTGATCGCGAGTTAACCGTTGACTTTCTTTGTTTTTTGGTTGACTAGGTCTATTTTGGGGTTTCCCTATAAATAGCCTAACTACAAAAACCGCCCCTTATCCTACATTATCCTATCATTATTCAGTTTTCTATTTTGTTTAAGCTTTTGCACCAAAAACCTTCTTTTGTAAGAACTTGCCAAAAGATCTTTGATCTTGAGGTTTATTTATTTAAGTATTATCATTTTTTTTTTTTGATAAAATGTGAATTTATATGCCAAATAGGAAACGTTTCCGGATACAAAAGCTTTGGCGTAGCTAATAATAAAAAATCTTGGGCCCAAAAAAAAGTAAAAAACCCAAGACATTACATTTTACAGATCACTAGAGAGAAGAAGATTTGATCTCTGCACTTGGTTCAGGACTTGTGAAGGAACCAGGACGACAGTAAAAATGATGCCTTCGTTTTGTTTCTGGCTAGGATCGCGTCGCGAACTGATCTATCTACCAACCTGAATATAACATTTGCGGACCTTGAGACATTGTCATGTAGTCTCGCGTTTCTTTCCTTCCAGAGGTAAAACACCGTCGATTGAGTTGCCAGGAGCTTGATGATCTTCGGCATGAAAGGAGAAGGGCCGAGCATCCAAGTGATGAAGCTGCTCCAATCAGCAAAAACTGTTGTAGGCTCCCCTAATCGAGCGAGGAGTAACCTAGTGATCTGAATGCTAACCTCGCAATGAAGGAAGAGATGTTCCCTGGTTTCCTCATAGCGGTTACACAAATAGCAGAGGTCTGAGCTACCAATTCCCCATTTGAGAAGTCTGGGACGTAGAGGAAGCCTTCCCTTGTTTGTCACCCAGAAGGTAAAGGCGTGTTTTGGAGTGTGACCTTTGAACCAAACCGCTTCATACCATGTCACACTCGGAGCTGCATTTCTGATATCCTCCCAAGTATGAGATACAGAGAAAGATTCCCTACTGACGCCACCCGTTTGCCATAAATAACAATCCCTGCCCTTGGAATCAGCGGGAAGGTCCTTTTGCATCAGGGTATTACGCACCTCCCGGATAGCAGTAGATCGGGTACGAGGATTCGGGAGAATCCAGGAGCCTGCTCTACACGCTTGGGAAACCGAACTATGGAGAGGAATCCCCATCTTTCTTGGCCCTTCCTCGCCCACATAGTCTATCAAAGGGCTCAAGCTTAGCCAGTTATCAGATCAGAAACTGCAGAGCTTCCCGTCGTTTACCTGACAGAAGATGAACCTCCTCGCGAGTGGTCTCAGAGCCAGGAGGAACTTCCAAACCCAAGATGAATGACCTCTGTCCAGATCCTGCCAGAAGTTTACTCGTTTAAGCCTATACTCCCTGTTCCAAGCAACCCATAGGGACCCACTGGCGGAGAAAAGCAACCAGACAAGCTTCAAATAGAGAGCCTTATTCCACATACTAAAATTTCGAAGCCCAAGTCCCCCCTCAGACTTAGGCAAACAGACTTGTTTCCAAGACACTTTAACTCCACGATGGTTTGCTAAATCCCCGGCCCAGAGGTAGTTATTGCAGAGAGATTCAAGTTCTTTCAGACAACCCTTTGGAAGCGAGAAAGCCTGTAGCCAGAAGTTGATAGAGCTATAGATTACCGAGGAGATGAGTTGCAGCCTCCCTGCGAAAGATAAGGTTTTAGATCTATGAGCGGTGAGTATTCAGATCTCCTGAGCTTTCTGTGCATTAGTGGGAGACCCAGGTACCTTATCGGAAGTGAACCGAAGAGGAAACCAAAGGACAGTGATTCCGCTGTTTCCGCCTGGTTCAGACCCGCGAGGAATAAAGCCGATTTCTCATGGTTCATAGGCAATCCTGAAAGTCCTGCAAATTCATCCAACGCTTGCACAATTGCTCGCAGGGATTGTGGCTTCCCATCGTAAAAGATCATTACATCATCCGCAAAAGATAAGTGGGTTATCTTCGGTTTGTGTCCCTTCGGGTGAAAACCGATTAGTCCCTCTTCATACCTAGAGCTGATCAGCTTTGCGAAGACTTCCATCGCTAGTACAAAGAGGTAAGGGGATAGAGAGTCCCCTTGACGTAGACCCGTAGCCCCTTTGAAGTAACCATAAATCCCCCCAATTATGCTGATCGAGAAGGATGTCGTGGTGATGCATTGAGAGATCCAATTTACAAACAGAGGGGGAAAGTCCGCAGCCTTTAGCACCTCAATGATGAACTCCCAACTCACCGAATCAAAAGCTTTCTGGATGTCAACCTTGAGTAGTCCTCTACGGGAAGTATTTTGTTGACCAAATCCCTGAACAAGCTCGGTGGTGAGGAGAACATTCTCTACCAATAAGCGCCCCTTTAAGAAAGCTGATTGGGAGAAAGAGATCCTGCCCGGTAATATAGCCTGAAGTCTTCTTGCTAGAAGTCTCTAGATCACTTTGTATAGGGTATTACAACACGAAATCGGACGGAACTCCTTAACGGTATCTGCTCCAGGATGCTTCGGGATCAGAGCTAGAATGGTAGAGTTAATTTGCTTAAGCATCTGACCCGAAGAGAAAATTTCCAGCACTGCAGCCGTGAAATCCTGACCAACAATGTCCCATGCTGCTCGATAGAACTCGGGTGTGTACCCATCCGGCCCAGGCGTTTTGTTCAATGGGAGAGAAAAAAGTTCACGCTTAACATCCTCAGCAGTCACAGGGGCTATCAATAGCTCTTGCTCCACGCGATCGCACTTAAATGGAGTGTATCGTCGGATTCTGAATCTCAAATCGTCGGTTAGAGGACTGGATGACCTTCCAAGAAGATTAAGGAAGAAATCGACGCAGCAGGAAGAAATGTCTGACAGACTTTCCAATCTTGAGCCCGAGTTATCGATGAGGTAATGGATCTGATTTAGTGGTCGTCTTGCCGCCATAAACCTATGGAAAAAAGCTGTGTTTTTATCTCCACACTCCACCCAAGTTACTCTAGATCGCTGGTGCAGAAAATGTTCCTCGGCCAGGGCCAGATCCAGCCAATCCTGATGAGCTTCCTTTTCAAGTCTTGCCAAGACTGGAGAGGGCGTTGCAAGAAGATTGGCTTGGCAAGTTGTAAGCTTCTCGAGAGCTTTCACCACTCGTTTCTCTAGGCCTGAGTAGTGCTCTTTATTGATGCCCTTTATAACGTTCTTGTAAGTTTTCAGCTTCTTCACAAGGCAGAACATCTTGGTGCCTACAGGGTGTAGGGACTCCCACGTTGTCGCAATACTGGAGACAAAATCGGGATGCTTTCCAATGAAGTTGAAAAACTTGAATGGCCTGTTTGGAGCATCTAGAGGCCTGCCGAGACAGACAGTAGCTGGGCTGTGATCAGAGAAATGAGTCTCGCTGAATTGAGCGTACGAGAATGGATACGCCACCATCCACTTATCATTCACCAAAACCCGATCCAGCTTCTTCGCAATTGGGTTTAGCTCCTGATTATTCCACCAAGTGAACATATTTCCACGGTAGGAGAGGTCAAAAAGCCTTGCATTGTACAAACAGTTCTGAAACTCTGTCATTCCTCCAGTGATCCGAGATATCCCACGAGAGTCATCTTCCGGATTTAGTGATTGGTTGAAGTCCCCAAGCACAGTCCAAGGGTACGCCGAGATGCAAGGGTCAGCAGCAAGCTGAGTAAGTTCTAGCCATAGTTCTCTTCTGCCATATCTGCAGTTCACAGCGTACACAAATGTCACCACGAACTCCTCTGAAATTCGAGGGAGCTTCACTCTGGAGGTAATGGTTTGCTTGGATTTAGAGATCACTGATACCAGAACATCCGGCTTCCAGAACACCCAGATTCTTCCCAAGTCCGTGAAATCATAGTTACTCGCATAACTCCAGCCCGAGAAAGAGGAGTTAAAAATTGAAGTAGAGTTCTTCTCCTTCACTCTAGTTTCTATAATGCAACCAAAAGAGGCTTTGGAACGCCTTAGCCATTTTCTAAAACTGCTACGCCTTACCGAATGATTAAATCCACGAACGTTCCAACAAAAAAGGTCGACTGATATTTAAATTAAGAGAGGTTGGGGCCTTTGCCCCGATCCTTATACCCTGCCCTTTGCACTTTTCGCTGCCTTTGAGACACCACCTTCACAAATTTGTCAAAAACCTCTGGGTTATCATCCTCCTCCGAATAGTAGCTAGACTCCCCCCTGCTAGTATCCTCGTTGGAGTCCTCGTTGGCACTAGAAGAAGCCTCTGTCTTCTGACTAGAGCTCGAGGAAGGCATCGACTTCCGAGATGAGGATTTTGCTCTCCAGGCACAGCCTTCCTCACTGACCTTCTGCCTTCCTATAGTTCCTTCATTCTTTGACTCAACCCTTAAGATTTGTGGGAGGGGCGCATCCTCTTCCGAGGGCCTGCGGGTTGCCTTGTAATTCTTTCTCTTAGCCACCTCCGACTTGGGGGGGGGGACTTTTTGGCTCTTGGGCAAAGCTCTGTGATGTGCAACGTTGATTTACATCGAAGACAGGTTATTGGCGCTGAAGGACAACGACGGACCGAGTGGCCTAACTGATTGCAGTGTGTGCAGGTAGGGGGCAGCCAAGGAGAGGAGACTTCAACTCGCTGTGTTTGACCAGATTGGAAACGGACACTCACGAATTCCGGCAGTGGTTTGGAGGGATCGATTATAGTGAGAACTCTTGCCACTTCAAGGTTTGTCATACTTTACGTGGTTGGGTGACATTTGACGGGGTCCCCCACTAGGCCTGCGATATGCTCCAGACCTTCCTCAGAGTAGAACTGAAGTGGGACGTTTCGAAAGTCTATCCAGACAGGGGCTGAAGAGAGGGTTGGGATTTCAGGAGTAAGACCCGGTTCCCATTTCCCAACGAACATCGATTGATTTTCAATATGCCACATTCCCTAAGCCAGAACTCGCTGCCTGGTAATTGGGCAGGGGATCCAAATGAGGAAGGATCTGTCGCTGAGCTTGGAGACTGTGATATCCCGGCACCTATTACTCCAGATGCCGTTGGTGATGGCATGGAGAGCTCCCGGTGAAGGAGCTTTCCCGTGGAATTGGGCAAGAATGAAATTTTCCCATCGATGCTGATTCCTAGCAATAACCTCGTTTGGGATAGTGACACATGGTTCGCCAGAGTCCAGGATGAAAGAGTTCCCTTTCCGCGTCATCTTCTTATTCGAGGGACTGACCACTTCAGCCCAAGTTGGTTTGCTTGAGCTTGCAGATCCTTCAGGGTTTTGCCTTGGGTCAGCAGGGGGCATCTCGGCGGAGTCCAGCACGACAGTGTTGCTAGAGCCCGAAACTGCAGGCGAGTGAACCTGAGGTGTAGAAACCAAAACATTCGGGCACTGGGGAGTGGCCTGATTAGAATTTCTGTCAGAGTTTCTTGAGTTCTGAGACTCGGTCTGTAGATCCGGATGGGGGGCCGCCGAGGATGAGGGCAGCGGCTTCGGGGGGAGGCGGGATTGGGAGCGCTCTCTCGAGCCGATAGGAGAGCCAAGGATTGGGGGTTTTTTTTTCTTAGCCATTGGGGTTGCCGGCGGCAGAGGCCAGGGACCGACGCCGGTGAGGAATAGGGATTTGGTAAATCGCTCTTTTTTCGAAGTGGCTCGTAGATACTTTGTTGAAGCGGTCATAAGTATTATCATTTTCTTTGCAAGCCAAGATACTAAACAAGCCAGGCCAAGACTAGTATAGTGTTAAGCACATCAAATAGAGAGAAGACAATCATATTAAGCACACGACATCACTAATCTAATCCTAAAAGACCTCTAATCTATCCAATCTCAAACCTAAATAAGACTACTCACTAATCATAGTTAAAACCACAAATTCTAAAAAAAAATAATGGTTAAGCATTATGAGAAAGCAGAATAAGCAAGAATAGATTAAATGCAAATGCAGAAATTCACTAAATCAAACTAGTTCTTACAAAGCAAAACTGAAAAAGGAAAGGTTTTTAATGCTAGAACAGTAGAGAAAATAATAAGATAAGAGTTGCCTAAACATTTTAGGACTTTAATATTTATAGGGAGGCTTAGAAACCCCTAATTAACCAAGAATAAACCGAATTAAGGCTAACTCGGCTGAACCATATCAGCTTCTTATATCGATATTGACATCGATATTGGGTCTTCATGTGGTTGTATCGACATGCTCCTGGTCGATATGGTGGTCGATACGCAAGGCTTCAGGGGTGTATCAGCTTGACTCATTTGGTGTATACATCGATACATTCGCCCTTTTCCTAAGGCATATGAAGCAAATTCATGTCGATATAGCATTTCGATATTGCCCTGCTTCTGGTGTATCGACTTGGGTGATCGATACACTGCTCGGTATGAGTCCATCAATGTGTATCGAGGCCTCCTTGGTCGATATGTTGCTCTGTTCACCATGCTCCTTCTGTATCGATATAAAGTCATCGATATGCAGTCCGATACACTTCCATATCAACCAGATCATGTCGACATCCTGCTTGATATTGGTCCACCCAACCTTGTCCTTGTCCTTGCTCCATTCCCAGCTCACATCCATTGCACCACTTGGTCTCCAAACTCCTTTTAGTACCTGAATAAAACTCCAAATGTTTATAAAATGCAATGCAACTCCTAAATCTACACTAACTCCTAAATGTATGCAAATAGGACAAGAAGAGGCAAAATATACATGTTTAAAAGACTAAAACTAGTGATAAATGCATGCTAAGATGGTATAAATAATGGAGATATCAACACCCCCACACTTACATTTTGCTTGTCCTCAATCAAACAAACTAAGACAAGGGGGAAGTGAGGTTTGAAGGTGGGCACTCAAATCCAAAATGCTAAGGTAAAGAAGTCAAATCAATGTCTAAGTGCCTAAGTGTAGGATGTAAAACACAATCTGTTGTACTTTAAAGAACCTAGCCATGCCTATTCAGTTTCAGAAGGATCTATAGCTCTACTTAGTCAAATGTTCAAATCAATCAATCTCTTTAACATTCGATTAAACTATGTAACCAAGCGAATCGTGTTTAAGCAAATCAATTGGGATCATTTGGCTAAGGGTTAAGGTCATGAGATTAAAATGATCTCATCAAAATGTGGGTTCAAATGCAAGGGTTTCTCTCAAAAAGGAATGAACTTAGGCATAATGTTAAAGGTGAAGCACAACTTATGCATACAAGGATAAATTACTATCTACTTAATGCCTAAGATTGTTCAAAACCCCAAAATCTAAACCCAAATCAAACCCTAATCCAAACTACCCTTTTATAAAATCTTCTCACACTCTCCAAACTTTAGTATTTTTCAGGAAAGATTCTTTTTTTACCTCACCATGTTGTGGCCCTCTTTTTGCTCCTTTGTTGTGGGTGCCTTCTTTTTTTAGTGGGGAGTCTCATTTTCTTCATCCTTTTGATGTATTAGGCTTTTGTGCCATCTTTGTTGTTTTGCTGAGACTCTATCTTCATAATGGCCACCGTTTTTGAGTTTATTTGGTTCCACACATGCTGAGCTTTGGCTTGCTTCCTCTTCTCATTCACTTTTCCCTTTACTTTCTTTCTACTCTCACTCTCTCCTTTTAGATCAACATAACACCCAAATCCGCCTCAGAGATAGTGCTTAAGTTTGAAAAGAAGGTAGGGTTAAGGTTGTGGTAACTGTCCCTTAATGATGAGGATCAGCTATTTGGACTAGCAAGAGAGGTAAAAAAGAAGAAAGAAAGTCCAAATATGTATATGGGTAATCCATGAAACCACTTTTCATTGCGAAAAAACATGATAATTAACAATTCAAATTAATGGTTCTAATAAATAGAGATGGTTTTCAATGAGAAAATGATTTCACTACGAGACTAAAGAATCAAATTTAGCATTCAAGAGCATGGTTCAGCGTAAGTTTCTAACCTTTTATGATTCATCAAACATTTAACCACTTAGACATTTAAATCAATTATAAACACTTAGCATTTTACAAGGAATTATCATCATCATGTCCTATGCAAATGCAATGCAACCTATATGAAAAATACTACACTCAACCCTAAACAAATGAAGGCAACTATATGCTTTTCTTTTTGGTTTGCAAAAGATGTCAAATTTTCAATTTTTTCAATTTTTTTTGGTTTTTAAATGCAGTTAGATGAATGCATGAGACTCTTATGCAATAAAAACTAAGAAAATAAAACACAATGTCAACTTCTTGATCGTTTTGTCTTACCATTTGTTCCATCTTTGCAAGAGGTTGATGTGCTCATGGGCTTTCTTCAAGGGACCTCCTTGGTGAGTCAAATCATGAGGCTGGAAGTGGTACTCCTCACTGTTGTAGCTTGAAGCATTTGATTCTTCTTCTTCTTGAACACCTTCTCCCATTTGTCCTCCTTCATAGACTACAAGAGGATAGTCTCCTTGAGGAAGAGGAGTGTTGGCGCCTTGGTGAGTGTAAGAGGATGGAGCGCCTTCTTGGTAGAGCATTGGCTGAGGAATGAAAAAGGCAAAGCTGTTGGGGTTGGAGAAGGATAAAAGATGCTGATTTGGGAGTACAAGCTTTGTAGCAGATCCATCTTCTTGAATGAAATTGTAGATTAACTTGTCCCCCACACTCTCTCCAAAGAACCTTGCTTTCTTCAGATATTGAAAGTCTAGATACTCCACCTTGACTGTTTCTGGTCCACTCTAAACTCCTGCAGCTTCCATCAATGAAGTAACAAGGCCTGCATCATAGAGCTTTGGCGCCTTGTCATCATTTTTTGATAGCAATTTTTTGATGACCAGAAATTGTTGCATGAAGATGGTGACCATTCCAGTTGTCCCATCTGTTCCTTTGAGCTCCACTCCTTGCCTTGTGTAGTTTAGGATATTGATCAGACTTTGATCAATGAGCTCCCATTCTCCACCCTCAACAGACCCGCTTTCTCTTCTTGCAAAGAGAGTATGCGCCAATGCCTTGTGCACATATCTATTGGTTGGATTCCTGATCAGAGAAGCCTTGCTTCTTCGTGGCTTGTAAGCGCCTCTAGCCACATGCTCCCAAAGGGTTTTCATCTCCTCTTTGCTAATCCCCTGATTTTGTCCTATAGAGCTGCCATATCAGAACCCAAAAACATATTCAATGGCTGAGGACATCCTATAATTGCCCTTTGAAACTCTGAAGGTGATGAAGCCATCACCATCTGGTGTCTCTTCTCCAGGCTCATAGAAGGTGACTTCAAAGGTTGCAATGAATTGAAGCACCTGGTCTTTGTTGGCTGAGAAAGGAGTTCCCTTCAGCCTTGTTAGCTCCATAGTCTCCAGCATAGAAGAGCAGTCCTCAATTATTCCCAAGGCTTTCAGAGTTGGCACATGTAGATATCTTGTTGGTCTGACATTTACATTTTGCAGCTTGTCATAAAGCAGCCTTGTCACTAGCGCTAACATCCATCTTCTTTTTGCCTTGAACTGTAGCGCCCGAGAACCCCACTTGCCTTTGGCTCTCTCTTGCTGCTCAACCTCCTTGTTTGCTCCACTCCTTGTTGTTCTTCCCATGGTACCTAAAACAAAATTCTCAAAACAAGAGCGAGAACCATGGTGGTGAACAAAATACAAAGCTTAATGTTGCTAAATTTACAAAAGTGATAAAAACAAAGTTTAAACCTCTATCAGTTGTGGATCAACTATATAAGCAAAGCATGCAAAGGATTCTTTAAACAGAATTATCTAGAAATTAAAAAACATGAATCCTAGCATGGTGAAGCTAAACAATGGTTACCAAATGCGAATGCAAGGCTAAACAAATGTAATTGACAAGCAAATAAATAGTAATCTAAAGTGCTTCAGAATAAAAAAATAATTATTCACCATGCAAAAGTAACAAAACTAACTAAGAAGCAACAATCATAAATCAAGCTTGCAACTACTTAACAAAATCAGTTCTTAAGTGATAAAAACATAGTTTAAACGTGCAAAAAGCTAAGAGACATTACCTAAAGTGGTTTGGCTCTCCTATACACTTAAGAAACTATAATTTTTGAAATTTGTGGTTGTAAACTAGAAAAATGAAAGTGAGAGAGAGAGAGAGAAGGGTGGGGTTAGTTTATATGGAGGGTCAGGGAATTTTTGTGGGGAGCAAGGAGACAAGAAGTGCCTAAGAGAGGGCCCACTTATGCTTGGGGATGGGAATGATTCAAATTTAATATCCTTGATCTAGTTTGACTAAGGAGGGAAACAATTTCAACTGAAGAGGGCTTACCTCGGGTGCAATATCGATCACCTATGTCAATATTCTGATTGATATTGATCATATCGGTTTGGTTTGGTCGATATGCATGCTGACATTGGTGTCTGGGCTCTTGTACCGGTCGATACACACGTCGATATTTCCCATGCATCTTTCATATCAGTCCTTAGCATCTCGTTACATTGTCCGATATTGATCTTAGCTTGTCCAATATCGAGTAAGACAATTCGATATATAGCTCAGTATGATCATGCAACGTTTTGTATCGGACTAGTACCTCGATATCATGCTCGGTATACCTTGACTTATGCTTAATAATACCTTTGCATTTTCTAGTTAAGGTGTACCGGCATGGGACATCGATACATAGCTCGACATGCTTTAACAAGGGTGATTA